TGCTGCACTCGCAGAGCTCAGGCGGTGTTGTATTTCAGTGTCAATGTTGACTTTGGTGGAGAGATGGCTGCCAAGGTAGTGGAAATTGTGAACATTTTCTAATGTTACACCATTAAGCTGTATTTCTGGCATTTGAGAGGGATTGGCTGGTGACCACTGGAAGGCATCCTCAGAGGTTGTGAGGTCTGTTGGAAACTAGGCAAGTGAGGAATGTCCACCTTCCATCTTGTCCATATCCTTCTTGAATCACGGTGCCCATAACTAAAGACAGCATTTAAGGGAGGTCTGAGAAAAGAGAATGGAGTGGGCCTATGACTTCCCTTGATCTACTATTCTAGTCATTATATGTCTGCTGAAGCAGCCTAGAATTGCATTGGCTTTTTTCGCTGCTGTACCACAGTGTTGACTCGTGTTCATGAAGTTGATAGGAACTTTAGGAGGGTCATCCCCAGGAGGAGGGACCCTGAGACCCCACCAAAGAGGGATCGCTACTTTGGCGAGCTAGGAGAAGCCTGATTTCAGCAGCTTTTATTTCTTTAAAAATTCCAAATACATCTCACCAAAGTTGAAGAAGCGGCACCAAGGTGGTTTATTAGCGATTCAGCTGAAAAGGATGCAATGTAGCAATCATTCGCCTACAGAGCATGTGGTTACAGAGATCAGAGACATTTTTATAGGAAAAACAGGCTTAGAAGTTTCAAAATTCCCGCCCTCCACCCGGCTCGCAGGGGATTGGCTGACGTGATAACAGCTGGGAGGAGGCTTGGTCGCCCGCCCTGCGTCAGAGCCAATCACAGAGCTCCTCTGCTGCGCAGGAACCAATGGGAGAGCTCCTACCGCCTCAGCGCTCTAGCGAATCAGGAGGAGGGAGGCGGGACGAGGTAGAAACAATGGGTTCATGAATGGATTAATGCACTGGTTCTCAACCTGTGGGTCCCCAGGTGTTTTGGCCTACAACTCCCAGAAATCCCAGCCAGTTTACCAGCTGTTAGGATTTCTGGGAGTTGAAGGCCAAAACATCTGGGGACCTACAGGTTGAGAACCACTCGATTAATGGATTTCATGCCCAGGGGGTCCTGAGTTCAGAGAATTCCAGCCTGCAGAGGATGCCAGTCTATTGTCTCTTGATGGGTCTTGTTGACTGCTTTATCCGGGCTTTCCTGTCGCCATCAGATATGACACAATGAAGAGACTGGGGTGAATGTCCGTTGTGACAAGTTTTGAAAGAATATGGCAATTTCGGGGGAAAGACTGTTTGAAGGTGATCAAAAGTTTGGTGGGCCGACTCCGAGACTCAACTTGAGGTTTCCAATTCTATGTTTTCCATGCACGAGTTATCATGATAAGAGTTCTTTGTGATTGCTAATTGTCCTTTCAACACAACTGGCAGCTTCTTTGATGAGTTTTCCCCACGGGGAGAGGGAAAGGAGCGAAGAGTTCAGAGCCCGGTCAGGGAAATATGAGGGAAGAATACATGGGGAAATATAGGAATCCCAAGAAATTCATATTAAGCATCCCTGCTCTCCCCCCGCCCGCCAGAGAAATTGATTAAAATAATAATTTTAATAAAACATGTGTCCATAGTTCATACTGGGGAAGTTCAGATGTGAAAATGAGTTCTTTAGAAAATAATTTGAAGAAAGCCCAACAGTCACAAAAGGGTGCTTGATGATTTCCACTGAGCCAAGGAATGGATTCCTGCAGTGCCAAGATCGAGTTGGTCTTTGGTCCTTGGGAAACTATAACTCTTTCCAAGGGCTGGAGCCCAGTGACCAATCTGCTCCCTTAAAGCCTTCTGGGGGTCTTTGCTGTTGTTAGTGTTTTGGCAAATTGACCAAGACTTAACCCTTATTGTGCAGTCTGGTGCCCTTGCCCTTTATAGAACTATAAGTTACTATCCCTTATTGGGGGGTGGGGGGAGACATGCTTGGCTTCATTCAGCTTGGGGCCTACTAAGACTTCTAGATCCCTTTCAAACCAGATCAAAAGTTCCCCACCTCTTTATTTTGCCACTTCGATGAGTCAGGGAAGCCAAGCAAACCCGATTCTGTTTCATCCCGCTATCTAACTACATAATATATCAGTGTGCCATACAACCGTTGTGGGTACCAAGGGGGGAAACCACAGTTCCCAGTTAACCCAGCAAGAACTAAAGATGACACGGAAACCAAAAACGTAAAGACCTTGTGACACTTCAGGTGTGAAATATCACAGTTGCAAGAAGGCATCAGAACAGAAACTGCATTTGCTGGAATGTGAAACAATAAGCGACGAAAAGGGGAAAGAAGTGGGTGGAACAATTGATATTTGCGATCTGAAAACTTTCCATCATCTTGACTCCCGGCCGAGATCGACATGGTCAATTTGGCTCGTTCTGTTCCAAGGTAAAAGTAAAAGTTTCCCCTTGACGTTAAGTCTAGTCGGGTCCAACTCTGGAGGGTGGGTGCTCATCTCTATTTCGAAGCCGAAGAGCCTGCATTGTCCGTAGACACCTCCAAGGTCATGTGGCCGGCATGACTGCATGGAGCAGTGTTACCTTCCCACCTGAGCAGTACCTATTGATCTATTCACATTTGCCTGTTTTTCGAACTGCTCAGTTGGCAGAAGCTGGGGCTAACAATGGGAGCTCACCCACTCCCCGGTTTCAAACCACCAACCTTTTGGTCAGCAAGTTCTGCAGCTCAGTGGTTTAACCCATTGAGCCCCGGTACCTATTGATCTACTCACATTTGCATGTTTTTCGAACTGTTCAGTTGGCAGAAGCTGGGGCTAACAGTGGGAGATCTCCCTGCTCCCTGGATTCAAACCACCAACCTTTTGGTCAGCAAGTTCTGCAGCTCAGCAGTTTAACTCATTGAGCCCCGGTTCCTATTGATCTACTCACATTTGCATGTTTTTCGAACTGCTCGGTTGGCAGAAGCTGGGGCTAACAGCGGGAGCTCACCCTGCTCCCCGGATTCAAACTGCCAACCTTTTGCTCAGCAAGTTCTGCAGCTCAGCAGTTTAACCCATTGAGCCCCGGTACCTATTGATCTACTCATATTTGCATGTTTTTCGCACTGCTTGGTTGGCAGAAGCTGGGGCTAACAGGGTGATTTACATTTGCATGTTTTTCAAACTGCTCAGTTGGCAGAAGCTGGGGCTAACAGCGGAAGCTCACCCTGCTCCCTGGATTCAAACCGCCAACCTTTTGGTCAGCAAGTTCTGCAGCTCAGTGGTGTAACCAAGTGAGACCCGGTTCCTATTGATCTACTCACATTTGCATGTTTTTCGAACTGCTCAGTTAGCAGAAGCTGGGGCTAATAGCGGGAGCTCACCCCGCTCCCCAGATTCAAACCGCCAAACTTTTGTTCAGCGAGTTCTGCAGCTCAGCGGTTTAAGCCGCTGTGCCACCGGGGGCTCAGTTCTGTTTAGAGGTGTCCAATTTTAATAGATTGCCGGCATGCTAGAAATCAAATTCAGCCCTCATATTCCTTTTTGAATGTCCTTTAAATCGCCCCCCAATCACTGCTCACATCTAGCTTCCGCCACTGAAACTTATGCACAAAATTCAGTCAATATTTCCACATTTTCGAAAAGAAAACTTTAATCAAAAAGAGATTTTTGAAAACTAAATATGAGGATACTCATTTTGCTCTTTGCTTTTGTAGGCATTTCTTCCGATAAGGTAGAAGCGCTTCTTTAGATTGATAGAGCGATACTCATGAAACTAGAGAAATCAAAGTTAAAAATGTACCCCCTCTGTATTTAGAAATGAGCTTCCACTAAGTTCCTAGTTCCTTTTTCCTAGTTCCAACAGACCTCATTACCTCTGAGGATGCTTGCCATAAATGCAGGCGAAACGTCAGGAGAGAATGCTTCTAGACCATGGCCATATAGCCCAAAAAAACCTACAACAACCCAGTGATTCCGGCCATGAAAGCCTTCGACAATACATTGAACAGTATTTTCTGATGGCTATGGGGGTTCCGTGTGGGAAGTTTGGCCCAATTCTGTCATTGGAGTTCAGAATGCTCTTTGATTACAGGTGAACTATAAATCCCAGCAACTATGACTCTGAAATGTCAAGATCTGTCTTCCCCAAACCCCACCAGTGTCCATATTTGGGCATGTTGAGTATTCGTGCCAAGTTTGGTCCAGATGCATCTGTGCTCTCTGGATGTAGGTGAACTACAACTCTGAAACACAAGGTCAATGCCCACCAAACTTTTCTAGTATTTTCTGTTTGTCATGGGAGCTCTGTGTCCCAAGTTTGGTTCAATTCCATCCTTGGAGGAGTTCAGTAGGTAAAAAAAGCCAATGGGATTTTGGCCTGCATCAATAGGAACATAATGTCTAGATCTAGGGAAGTCATGCTCCCCATGCTCTATTCTGCTTTGGTTAGACCACACCTGGAATATTGTGTCCAATTCTGGGCACCACAATTCAAGAGAGATATTGACAAGCTGGAATGTGTCCAGAGGAGGGTGACTAAAATGATCAAGGGTCTGGAGAACAAGCCCTATGAGGAGCGGCTTAAGGAGCTGGGCATGTTTAACCTGAAGAAGAGAAGGCTGAGAGGAGATATGATAGCCATGTATAAATATGTGAGAGGAAGCCACAGGGAGGAGGGAGCAAGCTTGTTTTCTGCTTCCCTGGAGACTAGGACGTGAAACAATGGCTTCAAACTACAAGAAAGGAGATTCCATCTGAACATGAGGAAGAACTTCCTGACTGTGAGAGCCGTTCAGTAGTGGAACTCTCTGCCCCGGAGTGTGGTGGAGGCTCCTTCTTTGGAAGCTTTTAAACAGAGGCTGGATGGCCATCTGTCAGGGGTGCTTTGAATGCAATATTCCTGCTTCTTGGCAGGGGGTTGGACTGGATGGCCCATGAGGTCTCTTCCAACTCTATGATTCTATGATTCTAGTGAACTATAAATCCCAGCAACTACAACTCCCAAATGACAAAATCAATCCTCCCCTCAACCCCATCAGTATTCAAATTTGGGTGTAAGTATTTGTTCCAAATGAATGAAAATACATCCTGCATATCGGATATTTACAAGATGATTCATAACAGCAGCAAAATTACAGTTGTGAAGTAGCAAAGAAAATAATGTTATGGTTGGGGGTCACCACAACATAAGGAACTGTATTAAGGGGTCACGGCATTAGGAAGGTTGAGAACCACTAACCTAGATGGTAGTTTGTAATTGAATAACTTTTGCTGCAGTGCCAAAGAGTCTTATCTATATAATGCGAGTCTGAGAGACACTGGGTGCAGCAGCCTCTTGAAAGTACCAAGACCTGCGTGTTTGGTATGGCTGGCCGTCTCATCATGATCATGACGAAATAAACCTTGTTTTTGTTCTACTCCTGAGACTGGCTGTTTGTCTGTTTGCCTCTTGAGACCGGACCTTCGGATGGGACCAAATTTGGGGGTTCCTAACAACATGGTGTTGGACTGCAGCTCCCAGCATCCCTCATCTTTGGCTAAGCTGGCCAGTGTTTCTGGGACTTGCGATACAATAACTGGAGAGCCATATGAGTCCCACCAAAAGGACATTAATATTTTGCTGATGCAAAGCTAATAGAAAGCATGGCTAGAAAGTGACAGCGGATGTGGAGAGGTAACATCTTTTGGGTTCTACTAGTTTGGAAATCAATCTCTATGAATTTCGGAATTGAGCCTCATAGAGCTGAAAAGGCACACTTAAAAAGCCTGGGTTTAAGATACGGCAGTGAGATGTGCTTTCAAATAGCAGGGCAGCTCATGGGTTTCTTTGTTGCCGAATCCTCGACGGTTGCCGTCGCAGCATACATGGCAATGCCACAGGCGTTGGTGCCGCGGTGCAGGCGAAAATACCCCTGAGGAGGCAAGAGCAAATAATAAAGTACAGTAACATTCTGCTTATTGGGTGAAATTCAGAACGTGACATGAACCGCTATCCAAAATATGATAAAAAATCAATACAATCCATCCCACAATCCAGATAAATACCAAGCTCCATCCCTACCCTAGATACCCAGGTTGTACTCTAGACATCAGCAGTGTCGGAAGCAACTTGAGAAACTGCAAGTCGTTTCTGGTGTGAGAGAATTGGCCATCTACAGAGACGTTGCCCAGGGGATGACCGGATGTGTTACTATCATATGGAATGCATCTGTCATGTACCCACATGGAAAGTTGGAGCTGACAGATGGCTGCTCACCCTGTCTCGCAGAGTTGAACCGCCAACCTGCCCCTCTAGGCCAGAGTGAAGAGAAAGGGGGCCGGGGAACAGTTCCATCTTGTCATCAGCTGGGGACCCCTCCACCCAGCACCAACTGCCGCTCTGGGCCAGAGTGAAGAGAGAGGGGGCCAGGGAACAGTTCCATCTTGTCTCCTGCATATGTCATCAGCTGGGGACCCCTCCCCCCAGCACCAACTGCCGCTCTCGGCCAGAGTGAAGAGAGAGAGGGCCAGGGGACAGTTCCACCTTGTCTCCTCCATATGTCATCAGTTGGGGATCCCTCCCCCCAGCACCAACTGCCGCTCTAGGCCAGAGTGAAGAGAGAGGGGGCCAGGGGACAGTCCCACCTTGTCTCCTGCATATGTCATCAGTTGAGGACCCCTCCCCCCAGCACCAACTGCCGCTCTGGACCAGAGTGAAGAGAGAGGGGGCCAGGGGACAGTTCCATCTTGTCTCCTGCATATGTCATCAGTTGGGAACCCCTCCCCCCAGCACCAACTGCCGCTCTGGGCCAGAGTGAAGAGAGAGGGGGCCAGGGGACAGTCCCATCTTGTCTCCTGCATATGTCATCAGTTGGGGACCCCTCCCCCCAGCACCAACTGCCGCTCTGGCCAGAGTGAAGAGAGAGGGGGCCAGGGACAGTTCCATCTTGTCTCCTGCATATGTCATCAGTGGGGACCCCTCCCCCCAGCACCAAATGCCGCTCTGAAGAGAGGGAGGGGCAGGGGACAGTTCCACCTTGTCTCCTGCATATGTCATCAGTTGGGGACCCCTCCCCAGCACCAACTGCCGCTCTGGGCCAGAGTGAAGAGAGAGGGGGCCAGGGGACAGTTCCACCTTGTCTCCTGCATATATCATCAGTTGGGAACCCCTCCCCCAGTACCTATAACCTACTGCATCACCCCGGCTCCTACCTGAACAAACACAATACCCATTTTGTCTCTTTTCCTGGCTAGCCTTTCCCTGTCTTTGTTGCCCTCCTTTGGGTCATAACTCTTGTCTCCCCCCCAAAAAGGGTTCTGTGATTTGTGTCCCGCTCACCTTTTCTCCCCAGTGCTCTCCCCACGAGTTCTGGATAACCCAATACGGTCCAGTTCGGGATCCACGTCGGGATTTGCCTGCTTACAAAAGGAAAACAAGAATTCAAGCATTGTTTTGCTGGATCCTGCCCACCGACAACACTACACTAGCCCTGGACCAGATGAGAGACTCAGAACTTCCTCCAATCCCGGACATAAGTCTCTGAAAATTAAGGATTTTATATTGTCGAAGGCTTTCATGGCCGGAATCACAGGGTTGTTGTAGGTTTTTTTGGGCTATATGGCCATGGTCTAGAGGCATTCTCTCCTGACGTTTCGCCTGCATCTATGGCAAGCATCCTCAGAGGTAGTGAGGTCTGTTGGAACTAGGAAAGAAGGGTTTATATATCTGTGGAATGACCAGGGTGAGACAAAGGACTCTTGTCTGTTGGAGCTAGGTGTGAATGTTTCAACTGACCACCTTGATTAGCATACAATGGCCTGACTGTGCCTGGAGCAAACTTTTGTTGAGAGGTGATTAGATGTCCCTGATTGTTTCCTCTCTGTAGCTGCCCTAGATCAGGAATGGGGAACACACATTGCTGAATTTCAATTTTTTATCCGCCATCTGTAGCGATTTTCTTTCGTGTCAAGTGCGACTTGAGAAACTGCAAGTCCCTTCTGGTGTAAGAATGGGCTGTCTGCAAGGGCATTGCCCACGGGATGTCTGGATGTTTTACCATCCTGTGGGAGGCTTCTCTGATGTTTCTGTGTGAGAAGCTGGAGCTGACAGATGGGAGCTCACCCTGACCTTTCAGAAAGCAGTCCTGCTGGTGCAAGGGTTTAACCCATTGCGCCACCAGGACCTCCTGTAGCGATGGAGAGTGGGAGTTGTAATCCTACAACTTTGTGACTTTTCCTGCCTCGTGTCAGGAGCGACTTGAGAAACTGCAAGTCGCTTCTGGTGTCAGAGAATTGACCGTCTGCAAGGATGTTGACCAGGGGATGCCCGGATGTTTTACCATTCCGTGGGAGGCTTCTCTGATGTTTCTGCGTGAGAAGCTGGAGCTGACAGATGGGAGCTCACCCTGACCTTTCAGTCAGCTGGTACAAGGGTTTAACCCATTGCGCTACCAGGGCCTCCTGTATCAATGGAGAGTGGGAGTTGCAATCCTACAACTTTGTGACTTTTCCTGCCTCGTGTCAGGAGCGACTTGAGAAACTGCAAGTCGCTTCTGGTGTCAGAGAATTGGCCGTCTGCAAGGACGTTGCCCAAGGGACCTTTTGGATGTTTTACCATCCTGTGGGAGGCTTCTCTCATGTCTTTTGCGTGAGAAGCTGGAGCTGACAGATGGGAGCTCACCCATCTAGGTGACATTGCACACGCACCTTCATTAAAGCCCACAATGAGCCCAACGTGGTCCAAGTAGTTCGGATTGCAGTCTTTCGCAGGCCTCTGGATGATACCGTTTTGGTAACTCTTGAGAGAGAGAGAAACACAGGAAGTCAATAACGTTTGTTTGGAAGGGACCCGAAACAAGACGGGAGAAGTTCACCACCAACCTGAAGGACCTTCATGTTTAACTGTGCCGTCACCGGCCCTTGGGAAGCCACTATCGAAGCTATATCTGAGAGATAAGAGAAGGGACGAGGGTTAGCGCTAAGACGGGCACAAGACAGGAAGATCCACGTCTTCACAGTTCAATGTTCGACCCCAAAAGCCAGTGGTTCGTGGACCACCAGTGGATTGAATGAAAAGTAATGCCTCCACTTCGTAATTCCTCAACAGATGGCAGTACTGGTATGCGGCAGGTACTGGCTTGTGCAGTAGACTCTCCTCTACAGTTCCATTTTCACGGGAAGCCTTAGCATTGAACGGCTGTGTTGTTAAAGTGGAAAGTAATACCTCCACCTTCGTAACTCCTCAACAGATGACAGTACTGGTATGCGACAGGTACTGGCTTGTTCAGTAGACTCCTCTACAGTTCTGTTTTGACGGGAAGCCTTAGCATTGAACGGTTGTGTTGTTAAAGTGAAAAGTAATGCCTCCCCCTTCGTAACTCCTCAACAGATGGCAGTACTGGTATGCGGCAGGTACTGGCTTGTTCAGTAGACTCTCCTCTACAGTTCCATTTTGGCGGAAAGCCTTAGCATTGAATATAAATATGTGAGAGGAAGCCACAGGGAGGAGGGAGAAAGCTTTTTTCTGCTTCCTTGGAGACTAGGATGCGGAACAATGGCTTCAAACTACAAGAGAGGAGATTCCATCTGAACATGAGAAAGGACTTCCTGACTGTGAGAGCCATTCAGCAGTGGAACTCTCTGCCCTGGAGCGTGGTGGAGGCTCCTTCTTTGGAAGCTTTTAAACAGAGGCTGGATGGCCATCTGTCAGGGGTGATTTGAATGCAATATTCCTGCTTCTTGGCAGAATGGGGTTGGACTGGATGGGCCATGAGGTCTCTTCCAACTCTTTGATTCTATGATTCTATGGTTGTGTTGTTAAAGTGAAAAGTAATGCCTCCACCTTCATAACTCCTCAACAGATGGCAGTACTGGTATGCGGCAGGTACTGGCTTGTTCAGTAGACTCTCCTCTACAATTCCATTTTGGTAGGAAGCCTTAGCATTGAATGGTTGTGTTGTTAAAGTGCGAAGTATAGAACCCTGTGCAGACGGTCGGACAATGNATTCTAAGAAGACTCTAGGGAAGATTTTTTGATCAGATTTAAGTTTGATTTTTCTCCACTAGATGGCAGCAGGAAGACAGGGCCAAAAATGCACATTTGCCAAAAGACCTTCGAACAAGTCGCAGTTTCTAGATAGTGTTTGCTCTGAAAGTTTTAGCAGCAGATGGAATACGGAATTGCTCTTTCACACCAAGTCATAGCCACCAACTTGGTGATATGTATTTATATTCTTGCTCTGCTTTCTTTCTTTCTTTCTTTCTTTCTTTCTTTCTTTCTTTCTTTCTTTCTTTCTTTCTTGCTAACTTCGGCTAGGTTAATCAGAGTAAAAAAAATTGTGTTTTCAGTATTGACCATAGTGTGTAGTAGCAGTCGATTTCTTGCATGAAGGGTTGGATGAGATAAAGCAAACTACTGCAGCCTTTCATAGTTTGTGTGTGCTACCTGCTTTAAATAACTTTTGCCATCTTGGTCACATCCTGATTTTGCTTGGCCACATATGTCCTAGTTGTCATCTGTGAATGTTGGGGTCTGCATCATTCGGTGGTTTCTTCATTTTTGTATTCCCAGGCCTCATTCTGAATATTGTTTTCAAAGACTTGATTATTGACTATAAGGTGTGCTGATATTTTCATACCATTTCTTTGCCCCACATATGGTTTTCAGAATAGGGGACAAGGGAGGCTCAAAGCATAGTCTAACAAAGGCCAACAGGCCAACGTGAAATGTTCTAGCAAAAATGGACTAACAAGATAGGTTCAACCTATCTAGTTGAACCTCCTCCAGTATTATCAATCACAAGTATAGGAAACGATAAAATACTAGAGAAATATAAAGATATTGAACCCTCCCCAAAGTAATCAAGACTATTTGCAATCTACCCTATTTCATCACATAATAGTCGCACTACTCCCTCCTCTTTTGGGGGGGAGACAAAGGGGAGTGTTGCCCCCTTGTATAATAGTCACAATTATGAACTAAGGGTGCGACAATTATGCAAGGAATGTTGAAAAACCAAATAGATACCCCCAAAAGGTGGCACGACTATTATGCGAGGAATGTTAAAAACAACCCAAAACCAGGATCCCAAAAAAGGGATGCAACTATTATGCAATGAAATATGGTATTTTCCACATTTATTTGGAAGTAAGCTCATATTCTCCAACATTTCACAGGGCACCATGTGGTCGAGCAACATTGAAGTGTGGTTACAATGGCCAAGGCTATTCTTTTGATTAAAGCTCGGAGAGGATGCAGCAATCTGCTTTTGCCTTATCCTAATTTTTTCATTGTGTCAGAAGCAACTTGAGAAACTGTGAGAGAATTGGCTGTCAGTAAGAATATTGCCCAGGGGACGCCTGGATGTTTTACCATCCTGTGGGAGACTTCTCTCAAAGGACCCTGTTGCTGACAGATGGGAGCTCACCCTGTCTTGCGGATTTGAACCGCAGACCTTCAGGTCAGCAGTTCAGCCGGTACAAGGATTTAACTCATTGCACCACCATGGCTCCTTGCCTTAGCCTACTGAGAAGGATAATATTTCAATTTCCCTGCTGTTTAATTAATTGCTTGCAAACTCCCTTTTCAGATTGAATTCCAGTTTGAGGGCAAAGTGGGAGTTAGAGAAAGAAACTGGGACATTTAGAAAGTTTGTTTTAAAAAATCAGCCAATAGAAGTTTAATCGGGAGACTTGGAGCATACAAAAACTGTGTTGACTACATGAAGGGCACTTGTAAGAATCTTGATATTTAAGGATTTTTCAAAATTATTTCCCTTCTTCCTGCAAGTTGGCAACATTAATAATAATTTGCTTACCAGTGTTGAGCCTCCCTGCACCTCAAGCCCAAAGAACAACACTGAAATTCAATTCTCACCTCAGATGGAAAGAATTCTCCCTCTCTTTGTATTGTTGAAGGCTTTCATGGCCAGAATCACTGGATTGTTGTAAGTTTTTTGGGCTGTATGGCCATGTTCCAGAAGCATTCTCTCCCGACATTTTGCCTGCATCTATAGCAGGCATTCTCAGAGGTTGTGAAGTCTTGTGAGGACCTCACAATTTCTGAGGATGCCTGCCATAGATGCAGAAGAAACATCAGGAGAGAATGCTTTTCGAACATGGCCATACAGGGCGAAAAATCTCCCTCTCTTGTTCTACATTCAGGTGGCCATATTGCTAGTGTTATTTACTATTGGACTGAACACCTTTGGAACAATACAGTGAACTAGGGAATTCTAGAAATCATGATATATTGAGATAATTGTTTTATTTGCTCAATTTAAATCCCACATTTTGGGCAACAACATGCAGAAGTGATTTATGATAAATAGGCAGATCTT